GAACCACTTAGTCCAAATGTACTTCCCTAACGAAAAGTTCAATTAATTGACCAGTGCTGCAGAGCTGCCAGTAATTTTAGTGATGGGGATGACACTTTGTTTGTGGAATTCAAGCTCAACAGATTAATATGCTTTAGACTGGCAAGGAAAATAGAAGAGTACACTCACTGGGTCATTTCACTAGATAGAGCTGAAAAGAAAAATGGTGACCTGAGGCTGTGTATTGACCCAAAAAAATGTGAACAAATAGATAAAGAGAGAGTATTTCCATTTGCTAACTAAAACACAGGCACTACTGCACTGAAATTATTTCCAAAGCAAGATGCATCCRCAGGCTTTTAGCAGATACCTCCGAGTGAGGAGACTGCAGAAGCTATGAACTTTCAATGCACCATTTGTCCGTCCCTGTTTCAAAGGGGTCACATCTGTCACTAGAGCCTGAGCCAGTCCACAGAACACAAAACAGTACAACTGCTTGAAGAGCTGAACACTGTGAAACTGTTTTGCCAGGGTACTGAGTCTGGAAGGAAGGCTGAATAAAATATAAAGGACTCAGACCTCTAAGAGCAAGTCAGGACAAGAGTTTGAACTAGACAAAAACAACTTTTCTGGCCAGAAAGTTATTGCTAATGACTATGAAGGACAGACAAGTCAAATTTCTGCCAAATACCTTAAGATAACACCTTATAGCATCACAAAATACTGCCTGCATTTGTGTCACTGAAGTGTTTAGATACCAAACRAATCAAAGTCCCCCTGGACACAGAGGCCAAACCAGGATCAAGTCTTTCACCAACAAAGTGACAATCACAGTGGATAAGAGACAGAGAGAAATAAGAAATGATTGACAAAAGCAGCAAGGCAGGGGGATTCCTGACAGCAGAGACAAGGTACAATTGCTGCTACACAGCCTCCTTACACTAAACCATTTCCTCTTTGCCATCAGCTCTCCCTCCTGAACAGCAAATGTCTCTTCAAACTGAGGGACAGGTATGATTTGAGGTCACCCCCAACACGCATTTGYTTTCTCTAACATCCTCAGTTTAACTTTTTACCATCCGTGTTAGATGGTTTTCCATCACTGTCCACTTCTCTCAACTTGTTGCCATTTTCCATCTTTTATCATAACATGCTTTTTGTCTCTCTGGGAATAGCTGGGACACATTGAGCAGTGCCTGCCAAACATGAGGCACTGCCAAAATCTCAGTGTGGCAGCACAAACTTGCAKGCAGCTTATGAGTAAATGAAGGAGTTTACCAAAGCCCAGAGAAAACTGGGATTCAACACAAGAAATCTCTGACACCTCTTTAATGGCATGATCATAGCCTGAAGATTTCAGGCTTTAATTTAATTATTTGTCACTTAGCTGTCTTAAATAGACACAACTTTAGCCCCACTTAGGGACAAAAGCTTTGAGAGATTTACTGCAGAGGAGCATTACCTCAAAAACTCTAACCAGGAAAGTTTGTATTCCAACAAATATTTGGCAAATTYGCCATTATTCATAGAGTTTCTGGCTACTCCTTAAAAGCCATCTTTTCAGTAGTGCTGAACTATGTCACTAGAGTTTAAAAATACAGAACTAAATCCCAAATCACAATAAAATCCCCATCCCAATGAACAGAGTTTGTCAATACTTACTAATATTTAACCATTTAAGAAAACCTAACATGGTGCTGTTTATACTTAATTTCAAACAAATACTTAGTTCTGCAAGAGCCAGAAAATGCTAACACATAAATGATAATACAWAAATGTAATGCTTACAGGGCTGAGRTTTTATATGACACAGCCATGCACTTAGAAGCAGGTTTGAACAGCCATTTGTAGTACAACTGCTGGGTGTTTTACTAGGTAAGTACWGTGTCTAATAAACTTTGATCTACTACCAAATATGAAAACAAAGTGAAGTGGAATATTAATAGCACTATCTCTATTTTGAAAGGGTTCTATCCAGGAGAGAGATTAGCCACTTAGAAAAACTCCATGCAGCTATAATTTAACATAATGCAAGTTTCTGCTGTGTTCTTGGCTAGAACTAACGTGATGAAATTGAGAAAAAGGAAATTTAGGAAGTTTTCCATAACAGTAGGGTGTGCCATGCTACTGAACTTTCAAAATAAGACATAAAAACCCCTCACTGCTTGATTAATTTAAAATCAGAATGAAACAGAACTCAAAATAAAGAGCTTTGATCAGTGTCCACTGCAGTGTAACTAAAACCAGGACACAGTGCAGGATTGTGGGATGAAGAAGGGCACAGCAGAACTATGGCAGGTGCTGCACTATGGATGCACAGCTGTGTTTGCATTTGTGTTCAAACACTGCTTCTGTACCTAAATCCAGGAACTCACGCACCTTTAACACCTGCTCCTGTTCAACACTCCCTTGCACACACATTTGTGCAAACAAATCACTGCTCTAGCTGTGCATCCCTAAATGCTTTTYCAGGGCTGACTGTACCTGCAGTTTCTGTGTCACTTGTTCCAGTTCACCACCAGCAAGAAACAGATGATTCCCACTTATCTATACGTTACAAAATGAAGTAAATCTGTACATTTGTGTTCACATTCATGCACTGCCTCAGAAAAACCATTAAAATAAATAAATAATCTTCCTTCAAGCTCATGAATACCTCCTATAGGCTATAAAGGGGCTTAAGCACATGCATTAGCACTTTGCTGAAAAGAGGTCATTTCCTGAAAGGAATATATATCCACTTGGGATTTACTTATGTAAATACAATTTCACACACATACTCTCCACCYAGGGAACAGGCATCCAATAATTGGTATGTAAAACATGTGCTTGYACCTAAATTCAAGAGCACTTTTGCACGCTGACTTTTATACATCCTGGTCTGACTAGAGGCATGGCTTAAATTAAATGCCAAGCTTCTTGCTTGAGATTGAATGAATTAACATTACTGGCCAGATAATAAACCCAGCATAATGGCACACTGAGGCCTAAGGCAACATTTCGGGARAATTTTCTTAGAAATTCAAGCCTGATAGGAGATGCTAATGAGTTTAGAGAAGTAAATATAGCTCTTTAAATAGCAAACGACAACTTGTCTATAACAGTAAGTTTCTCAGCACATTTACAAACGTTTTTGCTTGCAAGCTATAAAGTGACTTTCATTTAGTTGGACTTTAGCTCTCAAGAACAATCACTATCCTCACACGCCAACAAAGAGAGTGCAAATACACGAGGGGAGCGCAAATGAAATGCTCATTAAGGCTCCACTAGGAAACYATACAAACACCTTATTAAATAAGTTTAATTAAGTGGCTCTTTTCTAAATCATACAATCCCTAACAATGCYGAGAGGCCAATTCCTTGCTCAGAACCTCTGCTTTTCTTCCCTGAAGGAAAGTAATATTTTGTCTTTTATTCTCCCAGAGCCCCCAGCAGCTGCTGGCAGTGCCTGGCTGGGGCACCACTCTACTCCTGACTTGGCTGAGCCAAGGCTGAGCCAGCTTCCAGCAGGAGAAATGACTTAAGGAGTTAGGTTGTTTATAAACTCTCCAGGTAGCACTTTCTCCTATTTCTGTTATATAAATATTTTCAGAGAGAAAATACCCATATATTGGTGCCTAACTCAGCGTATTAAGCCAAATGCAAAAGCTCGTTGGAGAGGATGCATTTGTGACTGTCAAAGCAGCCCCAAAAAACAGCAGACACTCTTTACAAACCTTACATCCCGTGCTGTCTCTGAAGGTGAGCATGAGGCTGATATAATTCTCACCTCCAGGCTACAGCAATCAAAACACAAACCTGCATTTTAGATTCTTCACATCAGCACTTTCAGAGCATGTCAAGTCACTGGGATGTCCATTAATTTTAATGCACGTTAAAATGACCGGCATTAAGAGGCCATGCAATTTTCTGCCAAGCACTTTGTTTTCCCTGCCGACTGGAGTGGGAAAAGTCCCTTTATGAATTGCTGCTGATTCCGCTCTTGCTTCACCCTTGAGACACTTCCGTATCTCTCACGGCTGCCTCTACAATCAACTGCCCTGGGAGAGAGGCTGGCAGGACTGGACCAAACTAAACAATGAGGAGTCTTTTAGGAGTAATCTCCTTACGATAGTCAAAGAGCACCACTAATACCAGCAGGATGAAAGGCTTTTTTTTTTTTCATTCTTAGGAATAGCATCAACAGCAGGCAATGCAGATAGCTTAATAAGTTTCCACATCCCCCCACCCCGAGGCGGGGAGGGAATGTGTTAATAAAGCATCCATAACCATCATGTTTCATCTGAGCAAGAAAACAAAAAGTGTGGAGACATGGCAGTCACCCMCTGTTCTGCACAGGAACCCCCCTTGGGATCATGCACTGTTTGCAGCCCTGGATCACTTCAGAGATTTCCCTTTGTCAAAGGAACTCTCTCCTCACAGAAGTTCAGCGATGAGAAAAACCAGCAGATCATTCAAATGACCTCTCTACTAAGCCAAACCCGTTCCTCAGCTGTCCCTTTAACCAACAGAACAAGCATCTCGTCCAAGCCAGGTGACAGAGCTTCTACCCAGGCTCCGGAGCTTGCAYGGCACAATTCCAGCATCATTTAAAGGACGCAATTCCTAAACACTGTCACCGTGCCGCTCTTGGAGCTTTCACCGGTGCCCAAAATTCTGTTCCAAGCTGGSACTGGGACACCCCCTCCCGCAGAGAAGCTCCTTCAACACAACGCAGTAATGAAGATGCATTTGTGAGGATATCCATCACTGAGGACCAGAGAAAGTAAACTTTGCCTGTTTCTCATCTTAGTCAATTGCAAGCGCGCACGGTTTCCCACCATTCACATCAATAGGGGAGAGAGAAAGCAGCAGAGAGAGGCAGAGGCAGGATTTAAAGGAAAAGGCAGGGGGAAGAGGAGGAAGGGGGAATTCAGTTCACACGGCGGACAAAAAGACTCTGGGCTCGGAAGGAGTTGGAGCCGCCCGCCCGCGATCAACTGGTGCGTGCTGCCCGCGCCCCCGGCCCCGCGCCCSCTCACCTCCGCAGAGCAGCGCTCCGAGCAGCAGCCCGGCCGCCCGCGCCATGCCGAGGGGCTGCCGAGCCTCCGGGCCACGTCCCGCCCGGCCCCGTTCCTCCGGGGGCTCCTCCGCCGTTAGCTCTCCGTGGCCGCTGCCCGCGCCATCGCTCCGTGCGCTGCGCGCCCTCAGCTCCGCTCCGCTCCGCGCTCTCAGCTCCGCTCCGCGATCTCAGCTCCGCTCCGTGCCCTCAGCTCCGCTCCGCTGCGCGCCCTCAGCTCCGCTCCGCGCCCTCAGCTCCGCTCCGCTCCGCGCCCTCAGCTCCGCTCCGCGCCCTCAGCTCCGTTCCGCTGCGCGCCCTCAGCTCCGCTCCGCGCCCTCAGCTCCGCTCCGCTGCGCGCCCTCAGCTCCGCTCCGCGCCCTCAGCTCCGCTCCGCTGCGCGCCCTCAGCTCCGCTCCGTTCCGCGCTCTCAGCTCCGCTGCGCGCCCTCAGCTCCGCTGCGCGCCCTCAGCTCCGCTCCGCGCCCTCAGCTCCGCTCCGTTCCGCGCCCCGCGCTATCCCCGGCGGGCACGGGCAGCGCCCATGCTGGCTGCTCCGGCCGACACCGCTGACGCTCCCTGGGCAAAACTTTTGAAGCGGCAGAGCGAAGGGAGGGGAAGGTGCGTGCGGCGGCGGGGCTGGCGCTCCCCACGGCCGCCCGTCCGSCTGCGCTGGCCCCGAGCGCCCTCCGCCGCTTTCCCCGCCTTTATGAGGGGCCGCGGCCGCCGCGCGCTCAGACACTTTTCCCTGGGAGGAGGAAGGGAGGGAGGGATGAAGGGAGGGGGCACCGCCAGCCCCACCCTCRGGGGCGTGAGGGGACGGGGACTCGMGGYTGAGGGAGCGATGGARCGATGGAGCGGGACCCGTGCCCGAGCCCCCGCTGCGGGCGGCTGATGCGGTGAGACGGCGGCGAAGGGCCAAGGGCTGCGGAGGAGCTCCGGGGGCTCCGGGCAGCGGGCACGGCATCGAAGGGAGCCCTGGTGCGGGGGAG